GTGATCATCTTTACTTGAAGAGTTTAGATCGAAGTACGTATTTCTTCTTGTATGACGTAAAATCATTACGTGTTAATCATAGCGAAAAGAAGCGTTAAAATGGGTTCGGTTTTATTAGACACGGTATAGGCAATTGATTCTGTTTAGTGATAAGCCACTGTAATGAAATTTCTTCTCTATGATCAAATTTTTAGCTATGTAGCAGTGGTTGATTACCTGAAAACACGTTTGCAGTGGTGTTTTTCTTGAAGTTAGTTGTCTTTAAAAAAGGACCACAGGTAAGGGTGGGGGATAAAGCTTTGTTAATTAGTTATTTACCTGCAAGAAGAGGACGACTTCAATTATTCCCGTATTTTCCTTTGGCGGTTTTAAAACAACCAAAGTTTATAGCCATGTTCATTTCCGTCTCTCTTACACTTACATGGTAGGCATTATTTTTGGGCATCTATTGTTCATTGTGTTTATGATGCGGTGATGATTTTTTTCGTTTTGTGTCATAAGCTAAGAGTGTTTTTTTTTCAGAAGGCCATATCTATGACCATGTTGTAGGTACAGCGTATAGTCCCTGTTTCTTTTTAGCGACGTGGAACTCGTTTTTCTACCTTGTCTTGAATTAGTGGCGGAGCTTTCATATCTCAGCGACCCTGATGGTATTGCTAAAAGCTGGAGTAACCAAACTTTCTCTTGATATAAGCTGCCTTGTTAGAATGGCTGAGTGGCAAAGGTTGAGAGTATTGCATCCCTGACTGTGCCATAGTTAGGGACAATTGGTCTTGCAGCTTCGTTTTTCATGAAGCTTAACGTGGAAAGCTTTCGAACATTAGGAAGAGAAGTTCATTCAAGACCTTCGTTACAGCCTTCGTTACAGTTCCCTTCTAATTTTATTGGTAGCGATCCAGCCAGATTACTTCTTAGCCCTGTTAGTGAATTCGCTCTCCGTCTTTTGAGACAATTCTTTAATGTCAAAAATATCAAAATCTCAAATCTTAATCTCCAAAATATTTCCTGGATGGAACAGGGAGGGTTAACGAGCCGTTGCTCTTTGGCTTCCTGAAGCTGCTGCATTCCTGATACAAAACGAATAGTGAGTTATATTAATGCAGAACAAGCGACTTTGTCTGGGAATTAAAATTGAAATATCTCGACTGCGAGTCCCACACTCTACTCACTTACATTAACCCTCCCGTGGTTTAATTTTCCAGTCTTTCCAATAACTTGGGCTCTGTCTTTTTCTGTTCATTTGAATCTGTCAATCCATTGTTTTATCACAGGATTATTCGCTTTCCGTAGATTAAGTGATCTTCGTGGTTTCTTTTGTATTGACTCTGTTTATCTCCTAAGCACGAGAGAAGTTTAGTAAGTAGAATGTTGAGGCTACAGCCGAGATATCGTAGGTTGAACCCTCGGCTTGGTAATTCTCCTTTCATTCTTCTGAGGTAGACCAATGAGTACCGATTCGAGAGAAGGAAACTAAGCTCTACATGGTATAGTAGTAGCGAGTTGCATAT